TCCGCTCTCTCCCCACTCTGCTCTGCCCTTGGCCCCAAAGGCTGGTCCTTCTTGGGCTTCAAAGGCCAGGTTGGCCCAAGGATGGCCACCCTCACACCACTACCAGGAGAGGAGGCAGGGGAATGGGGTGGGCCAGTGGTGGTGCCGCCCTGGGTCTGTGCCCAGAGCAGAGCGGGTGTGCCTGGGGGAATGGCCAGAGGGCGCAGAAGTAATTGGTATATCTGTCCATTATGGACTGTGTCCCCTCCCCCCTTTCATTGGTTGAAGTCCTAGTGTTCAGGACCTCAAAATCTGCCTGTATTTGGAGACAAGGCTTTTAAAGAGGTGATTAAGGCTAAATGAGGTCATTAGGGGGAGCTGGGTCCTAATCCAATCTGACTGGGGATTAGGACACAGACTCGGAGGACTGCAGTCTGCAAGCCCAGGACAAGCCACCCTGCTGGCACCTGGGCCTCTAGCCCCTGGAACTGGGAGACAGCACCTTCCTGCCGGTTAAGCCCCAGTCTGTGACAACCCCTGGTGGCCGCCGAGGTAATGAACGCACCGAGCAGGGGCTTCGTGGTGCTTTCTGATGCAAAGCCTGGGCAGGGTAGTTTGCAGGGTAAGCACCAGACCTGTACACGTTTGGCTGCTTCGTGGGGCAGTGGAACTCAGCCGTCACTTCAGAGCTCACTGTGATCAGCTGTGAAATGAAACTTCTTCCACTCCTGTCCTGAGCCACCTGTCCCAAAGCCGTTAGGCGGGACCAGGCAGGGCAGGTGCTGCCTGGGGGTGGGGGTGGTGGCAGTGCTCTGAGTGGGGTGCTGGGGCCTCTGCTGGGTGAGCAGGGTCTGGCCGGGGCTCTGGTGGTCCACCCAGGCGTGTGGGGACCCACACAAGGTGCGGAGGGCATCGGCGGGTGGGGCAGTGGTGACAGCGGGAGGTTGGCTCCTGACAGGACCGAGCAGGGAAGTCAGTAAGTGCAGGATCCGGGTTCCTGCCTGCTGGAGGAGCCGCACGAGGAAGGGCAGCGCTGGGAGGAATCCGTGGGTCGGGCTGACATTGGAGCTATTGGCGTGAACTCTGCTTTCCTACAAGTGTGGGGAGAACTAGAAATACATACAGGTCCGAATGCTGTGTGTACGGAGAGGGCATGTGTGGGTGGGTGCCCTGTGGAAGGTGCCCACAGCCCAGGGGGCGCTCAGGGGACAGGGCAGGGTAGTGCCCACCCCGAGCTCCCATTTGCTGACCCCCAGCTCATCTCATTGAACCCTCCCCAGAACCCTGTGGGTTGAGAGGTGTAAATAGGGCTGGGTTCCCGTGCAGCCTCCCGGCAGATCTTTCCCACTCAGGCTGCAAGACCCACCTGTCCGAAAAGTGTGTGTGGTGTAGGGTGGCAGAGGGCAGAGTCTGAATGGAGCTTGGGTATGGGGACAAAAGCCCCTGTGCAGTGGCACCGAGGGCAGAGAGGGGAAGTGCGGGAGCTGGCTGGCAGACACACCCCTCCCCAGGTGGGCACTGGGGGAAGAGAACCCACCCGTGTGCCCCTGTAGGACCTGGCCCACGTGGCTCTGCTGCCATCTTGTGGTCGCCCTGGAACATGCCACCTCCGGAGAGGGGGCTTCCAGAAGTGCCCACTCTGAGTCTGCAGAGCATGATCCTGGACACCTAAGCGCACCCTTCTTGCTCCCGTGGCCCCGTTAGGGGCAGCAGCCTAGGCCCAGGAGAGGGGCACAAAGGCACTGTCACGGCAGTTGAGGCTGTCCTGAAGGCAGTGAGCACCCGGAGTCGGAGGGGCAGGGCTGGATGGAGGGGTACCATCCACGACATATGTGGAGCATTTTTTAAAAAAATGTTTTTATTGATTTTAGAGAGAGAGGAAAAGAGGGGGATAGAAACATTGATGAGAGTCTGAAACATCGATCAGCTGCCTCCTGCACGCCCCCTACTGGGCACTGAGCCCACAACCTGGGCATGTGCCCTGACTGGGAATCGAACCAGTGACCTTTTGGTTCATGGGTCGACACTGAGCACACTGGTGGTCTAGAGCATTTTCTTGACAGGTGCTGTGCTTTCAGTTAATTCTTACAAGTGAGAAAACGAAGAGGCACAGAAAGGTTAATTTGCCTAAGGTCACATAGCTCAGAAGTGGCCACGCTAGGATTTGCTATTATATGACAATTGGAGAGGTTGGATGCTGACAATGGGGGTGTCCAGGCCCTGTGTGGGGTTCTGGTGGCTCAGGGAGCCAGGAGGGCATGGAGGCTCTGCCCAGAGGCTTCCCGGCAGCTCTGGTGAGCACTTCCTCACAGGCCCCAGGGGCTGCTTCCTAGGCACCCCTTCTGCACCCTCCGGCTGTGCTCCCCTCAAACTCCCCATGTCCCTGGACACGTGCCACCTTCGGAGGCAGCTGGGCCCAGCAGCAGCTGCTGGTGCCTCATTAATCCTGTTCTGTGGGCCCAGAGCCCAGGCCCCGCCAGCAGCTGGCCCTTTTTCATGCGGGGCCGAGACACTTCCTGCAGCTGTTGAGTGATCAGCCCAGCCAGCCTGCGCCAGGATACCCAGGCTGGCCAGGGCTAACGGCTCCTGCCAGCGCTCCTTTGCCCGCCTTCAGCCCCAGCAGCCTTCTCTCTGGAAGAGGGACCCCTAAGGAGGGGATGCCCAGTGCTGTCCCCTCCAGGGCAAGTCCGGTGGCCTCCCTGGTGGCTTCCTGCTCGATTGTACTGGGCCCACCTTACCCCTCCAGCCCTGGGCCCCCAGCAGAGGCCCCTCCCTCACCTCCCAGCTCCCGTCTCTCTGCATGGGTTTCCCTTCCCTTCATTTCAGAGCAGCACTTTCTGAATTTACATATCTTTATCGTCCCCTTCCCTCCCATGTGACCCAACAGGGCTGGCACTTGGCCTCATTCACCTCTGTGTTCTTGGCACCTAGACCCATGCCTGGTGTGCAGTTGGCACTCTGCGGATACCATACACAGGAAAGAATAAATGACCTGGCAACTTTAGCCGTGAACAGGGCCACTAGCCCTGAAGTCACGCTGGTTTCCTGGGGCTGCCAGCCCCGAGTGAGGGAGTGACTGACCCATCATTGCCAGGGAGCTCTCTCTGACCACCAGGAGCTGCTGACTGCAGCCATGCAGGGACCAGCTGATAAAGGTGCATATTATGAAAAAGAGGGTCACAGAACCCAGGTGCGTTAGGGGCCTTCCTCCAACACATGGAGTCAAGCACAAAATTCAGCTTGGGGCTCCAGACACTGGTGGTCCAGTGTGGAGCTGCTGGCAGTCAGCCAGAAGTGGGCTAGGAAGGGGCCTCGATGCGATCTGCTGTCATGAGCGCTGACTGAAGAGGTGGCAGGCCCGGCAAGATAAAGCCAGTGGACATTTAGACCAGAGTCAAAGTCCCCAGCACCTGGCCACCTCCGTGTGATCTAGGCAGTGCAAGACGGGGTGCTGGTGTCCACGTGGACGTAGGGGAAGGGGCCCAGCGACAGCGGAGCATGAACTTTGGCTTCTTCCCAATTTTGAGTAAGAGCAGCCTCTGGGCAGGGCTGGCAAGCTCCACCCCCTCAGCACAGGGCCACCCGCCCAGTAACAGAGCAAGGCCAGATCACGGCCAGGAGACCCTTCCTTGTTAAGACCAGAGCCTTCTGTGGCTGGGCTAACACACAGCCGACGCGGACACAGGCGGTAACCCTCCAGTTTGGGCCAGCTGAGTGAGGTATGGCTGGAGGGCAAGGGCCCAGGTGCTACCATCTCCCCAAAATCGGTCAGACCAGGCCAACTGCTGGCTGCCCAGGGGAGAATGGGAGAGCTGCTCTCCCAACAGAAAAGGTGGCTGAGGTTGGGGATATGGGTGACTTAGATTCAGCCGTTGCCTTCCTCCAGGCCTAGCTCATCTGGAAGCTTTGAAACGGGCTAGACAATGAGCCCCCTCCTTCTGTTTAGGGGAAGGACGAGCCCAGGCTCCCACTGTACCTGCCCCAAGCTGCTTTCTCTGCCCCTACTACCCCTGGAGGGCTGGCTAGTCCAGGTCTCCTGTGTGCCCAGCTCCAGGCCACACCTCAAACTCAGGTCTACCAGACCACTGCTGATGGGGGCTGGGGGTTGCCCAGAGAGGACCCAGGCCACACTCCAGCCTGGCTGCTCTGGACCCCGACATTCTGACTTCTGCTCTTCTCTATGGGTTGACCTTTCAGGCAGGTTAATCGCCCAGCCCCACACCAGTCCCCCTCCCTTCTGCCACTGAGGGCTGGGCCAGGAGGTGCCAACATGCCTCACACAGTGAGTCTCGGAAATTCCAGACCCAAAAAGGTGGTACCCAAGACCCGGGGCCCTCCGGCTGCCAGGGGTGAGATGAGAACCGACGTCCTGTGCCTGACTTGACCTAGCTCCTTCAGCTGTGAGCCAAGACCTCCCATCAGCCTCAGTGTTGTCACCTGACAGTGAGGACCATGCACTGGGGCACAAGGAGTTGCCCGGAACATGACAGACACCTGCACCTACGCTCCGAGTTGGGCAGCTTAAATGATAGAGTCACAGCCTCAGCGTCTGAGATGAGCTGGTAACTGCTTTGCCCAGGGCTGTTGTGATGGCTCCATGAGCCCACATATTGCCTCATCTAGTGCCTCGCACCTGCGCTCAGACAGCATGGTGGTCTCCTCCCTGCAGGAGCACCTCCCCAGGACCAACACCAAGCTCCCAACTCTAACTGATGTGCTGCTGCTGCTGGGCAGGAGCAGGCCCGAGGGGGGCAGCAGTGCGCAGGTGCCCTGAGCACGTAGGACGTCACTCAGAGGGATAGCAATAGGGTCTCCTGGAAGGCAAATCATAGCTGAGCCTGTGTGTGAGGCAAGAGGGGGCTGCACCTGTCTGTACCTGATGCCAGGTATTGCTGGGTGCTCAGTCCTGCTGCTCTGCCTGTACCATCTGCAGGTGCCACCCTTGGCCCGAGTGCCAAAGTTGTCCCTGCCCCTGATGAGACCAAGAAGTCACTTCCCACTTGGAGACTGAACGCTGCTAGCAGGGTGGTTTTCTACCTTTAATTGGGGACAGAAAAGGCACCTCTCCCAGTACAAGAGGATCAGCCAACAGGTGGGTGGGCCCATGTCCAGCGGCTGGAAGAAGAAGGGTGGGGGGAGAAGGCAGTGGAGGAGATTGTGGGGCCGCAGGTGCTCCAGGCATGGCCCGAGGTGTCCCCTGCAGTCCGGGGCTGGGGCGCTGGAGCCCTACCATGTGCAGCTTCGTACCTGGACAGTGTGCAGCTGAGCAGAGGGCCACATACCCTGCCCACAACAGCTGGGCAGAGTTTCCAGGCTCCATGAGGCCAGGGCCAGGGAAGGGACCAGAGGCTGCAACAGAAGTTTCTGTTTCCAGCTTCCAGCCAGACTGTGGCTGGCAGTGTGGGCTCTGGAGGGCTCCTCTGGGGGTGGGTCCAGGGATGGGTCACCCAGGGCAGGAGTCACCCGGGGCAACCAAGCAGCAGCCTGTCTTCCAGGCCATCCAGATCTCAGCAAAGTCAGAGTGGTCGGCTGGGGTGGGGAAGGAGGCAGCAGTGGCCAGGGTCCCAACAAAGAACTGACTTATTCACTCAATTCACCTACTGCCTTCCCACACCCCAAACATGGCCCAGCCTCGAGGAGGAGAGAAGGGGGTAACAAGCCACTCCAAAGCAGCCTTAACACCAAGGGACGGGAAGAGGCCCCAGCCAGGAGGGTGGCAGCAACTGGGCTCGGGCTGCAGGGTGCCAGCCCCGCTCACAAGGCAAACAGCATGTCGTCGTCTTTCTCCTGGGTCTTCTTTCGAGGGGTGCTGCCAGGACGGGGCCCTGGGGGTCCCTCGGCTGAGGGACTGGAGAGGCTGGGCAACCGATCAGCCACTTTGGCCCGTTCTTCCAGGAACTTGTCAAACTCTGGAGAAATGGGAGAGAGAGGCTGGGGGTGGGCTCCCAGGCATGAATAGGGGATGTG